CCCGGCCGTGTTTGTTTGTTCTTCATGCTTATATATCGGACTATTGTGACTCGCTCTGCGGTTAAAACAGACGGTGCATGAATGCCGTTTTGCGGTAAGTGAAATTTGAGTACTTTATTTATGTGTTTATGATTTTAATCAGCTACGTAATGAATGTTATGGCTTGGGTTAGCGTGTAAGTGAGTGGTAATCGTATCCTCCAAGTTAACTTAAAACCATAGACTGTATATATAAAGGTTAAAATGAAATAGACAAGTGTTAAGCGTTAAGTGAGATAGTACTGTAGAACAAAAGGCTTCTGTTTGAGGTTGATAAAATAAGGTCATCCTTGTAACTTAGAGAGATATTTTATTATGTAGGTAGGAACTGTATGCATCGCTAAGGTTAATTTAAATTGGCTATGCTCAAGTATGTAGACAAGCTAACGTCGAAGTAGTGTATGTGAAATCAACCTCACAATAAGATGTGTGTATATTACAATTATTAATGTCATATTTCAAGATGATTACTTAGATATTACAATATGGTTGGTTGAGCTGGAGTTCATTATTGAGCTTACACGTTAACGTCACAGTCATCTGAAGAACGAACCCAAACGTTGTTGTTTTTATTAATTGCATTACCAAATTGGTATCAAATAAACAGTAACACAACAGCATTGGTAACACAACTTCCAAAGTTACAGTAAAATAAAAAGAACCCTGACTCGGACAATACACAATCCAACATGTTCAACAGAAGAGAATAAGTTATATTGTTTGTACACATGGTACTTTACATATATATCTGTTTGTTTAAAGTTTCCAGGTGATGCAGACAGGATGGACCAGAGAGTGAGAGACAGAACTGGACTCCTCACAGCAGTGAACTTCAGCACAGGTACAAATACTCTTTTTTCATACTGTACAAAGAATCAAGGAAGATATTGGTTTAAATAAATGAAGTATTGACTTTAATACACTGATATACATTCCATTAAACAATACTAAATACTAGATCACCTACACATCAGTGAAGTTGAGGGTTTTTTCCATGCAAAGGGTTACATTTAGATGTTAACAAGCAATATGACTGTCAGCTTTCTAATTGAAGGTATTGAAGGCAAAGCTATTAGTGACAACTGCTATTTATCTCTCAATATTGTCTGTAAAAAACGTGGTAAAAGTTATGATTTCAGTGAGAGAACAGAGCAAGCTTCTACAGTTGCACTAAGTTTTGATAACAGTTAAATATTATTTTGATAATAAAATATATTTCAATGTTGATGAATGTCATACTGTTCATTCATAATCTGATTGTCTTTGTAGCTCACTGTTGAAATAAAATAAAACATTACAATTACAAAATAATTATATCTACAGCCCCTAAACACAAGCACACCTCTTTCATAAATAACACACTTGTTCTGCAATAATATGTTTTATGTTTCCTGTAATTTTTGTTAGGAAAGGACATGCCTGAAAGACACGATTCAGCATCTCCTCTTTCTCTGAGGGTCAAGAAGAACATCCAAGAGGAAAATTAAAAGCTGATGTTATGAGATTTTAAGACCAGTACAGGACATTCACTAAGAAACTACTTTTATTGTGAAGTCAGCTGATCGAATGCACCTATTTCCACATCTACACTCCATCAGCTGATTAATTCTATTTGCCTCACTTTATGAGCTTCACAACACCTGTACCTTGTACCGCAGAGTTTGCAACGCAAATAAATGGGGCCAATCTTCAGTCGGATGTGAATGTGTAATCTAACATTTTCAGTAAGAATAATGGACAAAAGGAGTGCAAATACAAATTCAATTTATTGAAATCTGAACCAAAAGTTAATCAAACATGTTTTAAATAAAAAAGCACATATGGACAGAAGGTGTAAACCTATTAAATGTATAAGTAAACACATTTAGTCAAATAAAGTGACAGACAAGGCCTGTGCAGTTGGTATCAGCTATGCCCAGCATGGGCTCCTCCATCAGGCCTGGTCCTTCTCGCAGAGAAATGACCCTCAGTCCTCTCCAAACCAACAGACTGGACGTCCATCACACGGAGGTTTCTCCCTGAAGTCTCTGCAGCTCTCTGGACACCACGCTGTCTCAATCCGTCCACACTGAATATGAGAGGGGAAAATGAAAATAATAAATGCTTTAGACAATAAGAAATATAAAGTTGACTGTTGAGTTGCTCAGTTTTTTTAGATTGTCAATACTATTACTGTATAACTAATATCTCAGGTTAAGAGGCACCTTCAAATAAAGATTGGTCTTTAAATACATTTTGTCTTTTGAATTGTTTGTCTAAAGTCAAGGATCTAGAACTGGTAATTATAGTTTTAATGATACAGTCTGGTTATAATGCTGTTTGGAGGAGGCCTCACAGGTAAGAGCACTAACTAGCTACCATCACATGCACCTTAGCTTAACTTAAATGTATTAAACGTATAATTAAGTGATAGCAAAATATAAATAACTAATGTCATGCAAACATATTAATATTTGCTTGATTCCAGTGTTGCATTTAGCACATTGCATACAAACGTTAAGGGATTTTAAGATTCTGAAGTATTATGCTAAAAACTCAATAACTTAGATTATTATTTATAGTTTTGCTGAATAGTTTCATGTCCGCTTACCTTAGAAACGTAAAATGTGACTGCAGTGTGCAGATGGGGAAGCATGTTAGCTTAGCTTCTTAGCTTGAGCTAGCTCTGTTACTTCCCAGCTGGAGGCAGAAGGTCCCGCCTCGGCTCCGCCTCTTTGCCCTTATTTGGAGCAGGCTGGAGCAGGCGGGAGTTAGACTCAGACGTCACTGTCGAGCCGTTAGTGGCCGAGTCCGCCTACTAAGGGCTTCTCGGCAACTCTGCAGAATCCTATGGGTGACGTCACGGACCCTACGTCCATTTATATATACAGTCTATGGTTTGAACACAATGATGTCATCACTCCAACTGACAGTTGTCTCTCAGTTGTCAGTTCAGTTGTCTCTCAGTTGTCTCGTCTCTCTCTCTCTCTCTCTCTCTCCCTCTCTCTCTCTCTCTCTCTCACACACTCTCTCTCACACTCTCACACACACTCACACTCACACTCACACTCACACTCACACTCTCTCTCTCTCTCTCTCTCTCTCTCTCTCTCTCTCTCTCTCTCTCTCTCTCTCTCTCTCACAGACAGACAGACACACACTCTCTCTCTCTCACACACCCACACACACAAACACACTCTCCCTCTCTCTCACAGACACATCAAGAGAAGAGAGGGCGATCAAGAGAAGTGAGAGAGGGTGATAGAAGAGTGATAGGGTGATCAAGAGAAGAGAGAGGGCGATCAAGAGGAGAGAGAGAGGGCAATCAAGTGAAGAGAGAGAGGGCGATCAAGAGAAGAGAGAGGGCGATCAAGAGGAGAGAGAGAGAGGGCGATCAAGAGGAGAGAGAGAGGGCGATCAAGAGGAGAGAGAGTGGGCGATCAAGAGGAGAGAGAGAGGGCGATCAAGAGGAGAGAGAGAGGGCGATCAAGAGGAGAGAGAGTGGGCGATCAAGAGGAGAGAGAGAGGGCGATCAAGAGGAGAGAGAGAGGGCGATCAAGAGGAGAGAGAGAGGGCGATCAAGAGGAGAGAGAGAGGAGAGAGAGAGGGCGATCAAGAGGAGAGAGAGTGGGCGATCAAGAGGAGAGAGAGAGGGCGATCAAGAGGAGAGAGAGAGGGCGATGAAGAGGAGAGAGAGGGCGATCAAGAGAAGAGAGAGAGAGGGCGATCAAGAGGAGAGAGAGAGGGCGAGCAAGAGAAGAGAGAGAGAAGAGAGAGGGCGATCAAGAGAAGAGAGAGAGGGCGATCAAGAGAAGAGAGAGAGGGCGATCAAGAGGAGAGAGAGGGCGATCAAGAGGAGAGAGAGAGGGCGATCAAGAGAAGAGAGAGGGCGATCAAGAGAAGAGAGAGAGGGCGAGCAAGAGAAGAGAGAGAGAAGAGAGAGAGGGCGATCAAGAGAAGAGAGAGAGGGCGATAGAAGATTGAGAGGGTGATCAAGAGAAGAGAGAGTAATGTAACCTCCTAATGTAATGTATTACTCCTATGAAAATGTTCAAAAAGTGCTCAAACTTCACATGTGTGCTAACAGTCCAGCCGTGAAGACATCTACGGGACAGTTTTGAGATTTCTTCAAATGCCGTTGCCATGGCAACACAATGCTCACCGTGAAACACGGTTTTCTCATAACTTCAGTGAAAATGCTCGAAATGGCCCAAAACTTCACAGGTTTGGTAACGATGCAGCCATCAACACATCTAAGCGTATTATGGGGTGTCATCAAATGCCGTTGCCATGGCGACAGATAATTCACCATCAAGTTAGTTCAAAAGTTTGCAGTTCAAATATTCTGCTGCTTTCCCAAGCCTTTTTACTTTCTTTTCTCATCTTAATACAAATTCATTCACTACTACTTACATCTGATATTTAACTCCTTCAGCCTATTTTCAGCTGCAGAAACCATTCAACTATTACATTATTCAGCTATTTCATTACATCAAGGCTATACATGTTTTTTTAAACCTTTTCTTTTAAATATTAAGCTTTTTCTGCATTTTTGTAGCTAAAAGCAGCTACCATTCAGCTAATAACATATTCAGCTTTTTCAGCGAAATTCAGCCACAAATGTTCACAGTTTACAGCATTCGCACGCATTTTCTGCAGGAAATGCATTTTCTAGTTATTTTAGCAAACCAGTGCAGCAACATTCTTTCCACATAGTCTTATTTTTTAAACCAAACCTTATTTAAAGCAGACGCTGCGTCTATTTCAATTCAGCTGTAAGTGACAATACATGTTTTTTGGTTTTTATATTATGTAAACCCTAAGCAAATTCTGCATGAGACAACTTGACGTCATCAAACATCTGAGCTAAATGTTATCCTATGTTGTGCTTTTCATTTACTGTGAGCTAGAGCCCTCTAGTGTTCACTGTTGACATGCACCAGTGTAGACTTTAATGGTGAAATAAAGATGCTGAAAATCAAAATCAGTCAATCAATACTTTGTTTTATAAAGAGTCATTCATCATATTAATAATCATCATGAAATGGGTACTCTGGATGGTCGCTCCACCTGTGTTGAAACAATGAAAAAGTTGCTTTCCGAGCATAATGATGTGGACTTGTTTGTCTTTTTGAAAACAGTATTTAGACAAAAAACCACAATATATAATATACAGTAGTTACAGTTTTAGGTTCAACTCGCACTTAAATATATACTTCTTTTAAAGCTTATACTTACATCAGCAGCTCCACAAAGCGGATATTTTTGTTCAGCGCCTCAATGGCTTTCATTTCGTCCTCAGTGAGTGAAAAGTCAAATATCTAGAACAATAAATGATTTTTTTTACTGAAATAATAGAAATACATTTAAGATTACTATATAAAATAAATATAACAACTTGTCGTACTGACAAAAGCTTATATATATAAATATGTATATATGAAAAGGTATTTATTTAAACCCACCTGGAAGTTGTGTTTGATCCTCTTGGGGCTGAAGCTCTTGGGGATCACGACAACTCTTCTCTGGGCGTTGAAGCGCAGAGCCACCTGAGCCGTGCTCTTCTTGTATTTTTCCCCAATGGATACAAGCAGCTCGTCCTCCAGCAGGGGAGGACATTTCACATTCACCCTAAACCAGAGAAGGAGGAAAATACAAAAGCAGGAGAGAGACGTTTATCAACGTGTTTAGGTGTCGCATCGCTGTGTTAATGGTTTGGTAACAGAAATAATGTTGTTGGTTTAAAAGATGCTGACGAGTGGCAGAGATATTTTGTTGTATTACTTACATTTTAACATTTTACGATTGTGTTGTTGAACACAAATGTTATCCTTATATGAATACAGTACCAGAAGGAACAACACATGACAAAACACCAGCTTTCAGTGAACAGTGCATATCTCTTACCAGGAGGCATCTCTAGAGGAGCCAATTGGGCAGTAGCCAATTATCACTATGTCATTCTGACGACAGTACTCCAGAAGCTTGGGCTGTGTGAAATATGGATGGCATTCAACCTACAGGTAAGTGAGAAGAAAATATATAATTTAGGAAGAAAACTGTTACATTACATCAGCACCCTTTGCGCTACAAGCCAGAATAATAGTGGGCTTAGAGGGGAAATATGAACTCATTTTAACACCATAAAGCTAAAGAAATATGTATATTGATATAGTGTTTGAATATTGTGACAAGATCTAGGTTTGTTGAGTTCAAAACAAACCATACAAGTAACCCAAAGAATACACACAGCTCTACCAGCTACTTATAAATATATATATCTTCCCTCTTGTTTATGGTCTTTAATACATACTGATTTACTACTGTAATACTATGCTTTCTGTGATGTCAGTGGGGGTCTGAACACTAGTGTGGGTCACCTGGTTGGATACAGGTCTGTGTTTGAGGCCAGGTTTGTTGAGCAGCAGCTCCAGCTGTCTGCGGTTGAAGTTGGAGACTCCCAGAGATTTAACCAACCCTGCGTCTTTGCAAGCCTCTAAAGCCTGTTGAGGAGAAAAAGATTTACATCCTCTGACTGATAGTGATTATCTTTACAGACGTACTGAGAGAGTTGAGTCGCATATGAAGCACAGCCGAGCAGAAAAAACAGATCCTTGAATGAAGCTTGGCTTGTCATGAAACTACCATATCCAGACATTTCAATGCAGGATGTTAAAGCATTTTAGAAATTGGGAATTGAATGGAACTCACCTCCCATGTTGAACAGAGGTCTGTGTGGTGGTAGATGTGTTTTCCATCCTGGTCTTTTGGATAGAACTCTTTTCCAGGCTAATATTTAAGCAAAATTCATTATTTTGCATTAACACACAATGCATAAATAATAGTGCTTTGGTCTATATTTGTGCATATTCGGTACAATGTTGGAGTGTGGTGGTGCAGTTGGCTTCAGCTTTGGTTAAGTTCACATCTCAACAAATATCTGATTTATACCAACTAACTGGGCCAGATAGTTTGAGTTCATGAGCAAACATACTCGACATGGCTGTCTTATCTTTTCTGTAACCTTAAACTAATCATGAGCCACATTTGACACGTGTTATGCAGCTACAATGCATACATATAACAGTTTGATACAATTGTGTTGGTATCTTATCTAGTGCATATAACTAAAAATAAACATTAGATTGTGCATGCAGCTGTGTGTGTTGCCATACTTTCTAGATCTATTATCTTTTATTTCAAATAGTTTTAGAATATTATCTTCTTAAAACCTGACAGAGTAAATCAGAGCATTATCTAAACTAAACACTACCAGTGTGACTATCTTAGGTCAATGTTCAGACACTAAAGGGCTGGTTGTTAAAAGAACTGAGATCAAATGGTGTACCTTGAAGGCCATAGGGAGTTCAACAATGTAGAGATCCACATAGTCTAGTTGTAAGGCTTTCAGTGTCCTCTCCAAAGCTGGTCTCACCAACTCTGGTGGATGAAATGTATTCCAGAGCTGAGAAAAGTAACATGGAACTACTGTAGTTATACAAGATTGAAATATAGTTAACACCACTGAAGAATGAAGAATGACAAATCGTATTACCTTCCCACAGTAAAATATGTCCTTTCTTTGAACGGTTCCATCAGCAATCTTCTCTCTAATGGCTTGACCAACTTCATGCTCATTGAAATACACCAATGCTCCATCGAAGTGCCTGTAACCCACATCTATGGCCAGCTTGACACACTCAAGTGCTGTGCCTCTGGGTGTCTATTGTAAATCAAAATAAAATTAATACATTATTTGACCCGACTCATTATTCGATTGACTCACGCTGCACTTTGTGTTGACATTTTTCTGTTAAACATTATCTAATCATTACAAGAAAAAAACTCCTGCATTATAGAGAGTCCTTTTGGTGAAGCTGTCATTAGTAAAACAGATCTACAGTAGAAACACGCATATCATATCCTTCTTACCGTTCGAGGGTCTCCATAGGTGCCCAATCCCAGCAGTGGGATATGGTTCCCGTCACTGAGAGGGACACTGTGGCGTTCTGCTGTCAGATCCATGTGTGTGGATAAACTGCTGTTATCTAGCCTGCCTGGACCATGGATGTATAACAAGTTATTTATTTATTAAAGAGCATGAACTTTGAACCCTGACGTTTTACTTATGTTATTAACTTCATACTGAGAGGTTTTGCTGAGTCAAACCCAAACAAATCTCTGCAAATACGACTATAATGTTGGACTTAATTCAAACATTTTAACCCCTCCTATAATGTAAATGTTATCCAGCTTTTTAACACACGCTTGCTGTAATTGTTTCTATGGCTGTTTGTTGTTATTATCGTGGTTCAAAACATATGTAAAGGAGTATACAAAAAATAACATTAAAGAACAAAAGATAAATCAGTTAAATTAACACACTGATTGATGATCAGAGGGGTTACGATGCAGGTAAGTGCAGCAGTATTGCATAACACATTTAAAAAAACATACCCAATCATTCATAGTGGTGTGTGGTTGCAATTACAATGCTAATGCATAAAAACAAATGTAATTTAAGGTTTTCTTGTGTTTACTTTCCCCAAGACTGCTCATAGACTATAAGCATGGCTGTATTATTAATCAACCTTAAAGAATGGAAACGTTTAAAATTCCTTATTTTCTGAACCCATAAACATTTCAGTAGTGCAGTAAAGGTCCTACCGATATATCTACATGTTTGGTTTCAAGGTCAGATGGATGAGGTGCCAAAAGTACCACAATCCGTGTATCTACCGTCCATTTGTTTTTCTTTATTAAACAAGTAAACGGAAGAGCGTCTGAGAGGCCTTTTTGCTTTTTGCTTTTGACCTTACTAAATGGTCTAATGGTCCTTGGAGTGAGGGGCGGGGCGAAACTCACGGAAGTGATTTCAAAACAAAAGCACTCGTGTGCGGTGATACTATTATAAACAAGGTGAATTTAGCGATCACAACGAAAACAGCCAAGACACATATTGAGCCCAGAAAATTAATGTTATTACGGGCTGTACATATAATAAGCCTATGTCTGAAATGGACAACATTGTTAGGAGAATTAAACTATGCAGCGATTCTGCACTGCGGTCAACTCAGCCGTTGTTACCGTTGAACTGGTGACGCGGGGGAACTCGTGACGTTCTATAAAATACATATACACATTTCGATCGCTTCTTCTGTCGTTTACATTAATCTTTTGGTATATTTGTCTGGATAGGAACACTTTGATGCACATTCAGTACCAGTATGTGAGGTTGTGGTTGCGATGCCGATATCCGGACGTGTACAGCGAGGACTACAAAAAGACACATGAGGTGACTGGGGATGTGTGTGTTCAAAACATTGCACGCTTGAATAAATCATTTATTCAGCGTGGAGAAGTCTTCAGCTGTGGAGCTGTGATCCGCCCAATTTAACTTGTGATACGACTTCGGTTCTGTGGCTATCAACCAGCGATCATGTTTAATATTAAAGACTACACACATCCCTTATCAAAACGGTATTCTGCACTTTGCAGCACTTATCCAGATAAGATGTGACTGTTTACTTGGTTCACTTTTCGTTATGCATCGATACAGCGACACAAACCGAATGACGAGGATACTGAGATTTGTGACAAACTGTAAAGCATTAACCCATCACTGTACCCTGTATGCTGGTCTGCCTTCACTAACTGTACGGAGGCTCAGTCACTGGTACATTTTTATATATAAAGCCATGTTAGGGAAACTTCCATCCTACATCTGCTCCCTGATCTCACGGCGAATTGTAAATGGCTACTGCCTGAGATCGCATGCTGTGGTTTTATTAAATGTGCCAACTGCTAGGACTGTCTTAGGGAAAATAGCATTTAGATGCGCAGCTCCACTGTCCTGGAATAGTCTGCAATTAAAATGGAAACTGAGCAATCTGGTGCCACTAAATGTTTTTAAAGCTCGGTTGGATGCTACTGAATCGGAAGCTGTTGGTACCTGTGCATGTGGATAGTATGTAAATTGTAATCCCTGTAATGCTAATGTATGATGTCCTTTTGTTGTTCTGTTTATGTTTTTAATGTTTCATGTGGAACCTACTTGAGCAGGTCTCCCTTGAAAAAGAGATCAATGATCTCAATGGGATACAACCTGGATAAATAAAGGTTTGAAATGAAATGAAATGAATACTCACATACGTTGAGAACTACAAACACATATATTCATAATTTTTACTCTGCTGTGAACATGTTTTCGTTTCTATCTTAACGTTTATGCTTTTATCTTTGTGTTATTTTGTCTTATATGTTGTATCTATTTCTGTGTAACTTGGTAAAATTAATATGAATTCCTTGTTATTGTTGTCTTTCCACCTGTCGGTGATGATTATACTACATAACGAAACACATGGCCTGATTAGCATATTTTATATTTATATGATATAACTTAATGTGTGCACTGGAATACATTTATATGTAAAATGACCACTTATCACAACATAATGTGGGCTCGCAGGCTGATAAACTAGGATATCTGATCTCGGTGGGTCTTAATGAGACTTGATACAGACATCAGTCAGTAGGCTATACTATTTAAAAGCAAATGCCTACTATAATATGTATATTATATGGCTTAAGTGTACATAAATTCGCTCGCATTATAAATGATGGTTGGCTTGCATTTTTCTGAATCTTTTAACAATGTTAATGTGTAAAAATCTAGCTGTGATGAACGAATATGTTGTAACGATTCGTGGCTCACTCACAACGCGCAGGACTTGAGTGATTTTTGCTGTTGGGACTCGGGTTTGAGTCCAGCATGAACTTTTTAGTTATTTTCATGTCGATGGACACTGAATTATATGTTTGAATAGAGGATTCATAATATTGTTTGCGGAGACCAAAATGAATGACCAAGCAGCATTTTACAGTCTAAATATCCAACACAATATCCCTACACATGCAGCAATGACATTTCTGCTGCTGTCTTTGCAAAACGAGTAAACAGTCACATCTTATCTGGATAAGTGCTGCAAAGTGCAGAATACCGTTTTGATAAGGGATACATGTGTGTAGTCTTTAATATTAAACATGATTGCTGGTTGATAGCCACAGAACAGAAGTTGTATCACAAGTTAAACTGGGCAGATCACAGCTCCACAGCTGAAGACTTCTCCACGCTGCTTTCAAACTGTGAGTAAACAACGTGTGCTTCACTTGGAGGCTGTCTGAAGGTGTACACGGGTCTCAGATGGACTTGGTATCACATTAAGAACGATATTCAGTAATAAGTCTGGCAAAAATAACTGGTTTAAATGATTTATTCAAACGTGCAATGTTTTGAACACACACATCCCCAGTCACCTCATTGTCATTTTATAGTCCTCGCTGTACGCGTCCGGATATCGGCATCGCAAACACAACCTCACACACTGGTACTGAATGTGCATCAAAGTGTTCCTATCCAGCCAAATATACCAAAAGATTAATGTAAACGACAGAAGAAGCGATCGAAATGTGTATATGTATTTTATAGAACGTCACGAGTTCCCCCGCGTCACCAGTTTGTTATTATTTTTTCTGCCATTAGTTCTTCTTGAGATTGACACTGTTGGACTCAGTACGAGTGAAACAACTCCAACGAGTAATCCTCTGTCAATGTCCCCTCCTGAGTACAAGAATGCATGTTTCTTTGCTATTTTGAATAAGCGTTAAAACACCTTTCTTCATGAGACTTATATTGTTGGACAGAGTATTTTAAGAGGATATGGTAGACATGATATCAGCAATACTTCCAGTCAGTACTCCAGCAGCAGCATTTTTACCCCTTGGAAAGTCTTTAGAGACTGGCCTGGATAGCTGGTCACAACTATCCTTCAGCAAAGTGACAAACCCTTGTGACTCTTGTTGGCCTCTTATGACAATGCTGTCTTTTAAATAGGATTATTTCTCTGCCGCTAGTTCATTCCTCTCAGATTCTTCCATCAGTCCCAGTCATTGCATATCAGTCAATAGAGCTTTGAAAAATGTGTCCAATTCAACAAAATGTTTTTTTGTGAGTGAAGGCCAGAGCTAAATTATAGATGGTTTGAAGGTGAGAGAAAAATAAATCCACATCCTCCTACTAAACTTTTTGTATTTACTTGTCCATGTTATACTTATACTTACTTGTATTACGACATTTGCATGTTGAACTGCTGGATATCTTCCCCAGTCTCAAGGAAATACAACAAAATAAATGGATTCATAATTTTTTTTAAATGATAAAAATGTATAAATTAATAATGTTGTGTGCAAACATTTCAAATTTAAATACAAAAGGAAAAAAAGTTTACTTTTGAAATGATTTCTCACAAAAACCTTTCTAAATTATAGTAAATTATTAAAAAAGGTTTAGTCTATATATACGTTTTTCTGCCTAAAATAGTTGAAATTGAACGTAAACTATATCAAACACCACATCCATGGCAATTAACCCATTTTTGCCCACTATTTAAATTGACTTTGGTTGAAGTTAATAACAATATTGATATTATATAGAGATATATAGCATATCATTGATGCAGTCTTTCTGAACACTTTTAAAATAAAATACTGCAAGTTAAGAATATTTGTAATGTTCTGCACAGATAGTGCCTTAATTTGAATTTGAAAACACGTGGCAACTTTATTAATACAGCAGATGAAAAGATTTGTGGAAGGATAAATTCTTCATGGGCTTCAATGGCTCTCTAGATAAAGGGCGTTTTATGTGTCGTAGCAGCTTTAAAATCAGCTGTGGTCTAGAGAGAATAATCAGTTAAGTAACAAACGTACAGCAACACAATATTCGTATTAAAAGCAATAAGGATCTTTATACTTGCAAGTATGACGTCCCCTCCAACGGAGAACGTACTGTTCTGAGTAAAACAGGCTCTCTTTATAAGAGAGACATGTAAAGCAGATTTACATTACAACAACATTCTGGGAGGCCAGCTGATACCCCCTCTGGCACTGTATGCAAAACCATCACACCCTACAAGACATTTGGATATACAGATACCCCTCAGACACAGTATGCAAAACCTCACCCCCTAAACACGTCTGTTGACCACACATACATTTAAGGTTCACTCCCAGAGAGATGACCTAATCAGAGAAACTGGTTAGCAATGTTAACACATTTGTTAACACATTTGATTGCACAATTTCCTTAACATTTGGTTGCTTGTATTATCCTCAGATAGTGGTTTGTTTAAATAGTTACATTTGAATACATATTGCAAAAAAGGGCTCCAAAAAAGGCATATATATCCTGGCCGGCTCAGCCAGTGTGTATTTTTTCCAGCACCACAAGATTCATAGTTTATAAAGTACAATTCTGGGCCATTGATTGTGTCATTTCTCTAAACACATACAGTAAAAATGCCTGTTTTGAAGCCTTAAAATGGTGCAGGAAAAGGACTTTACAGTTAACCTCTTAAGCCCTGAGCCTGTTTTTCAGGTCTCAGGCTCGAAAATGACATTCCCAGAACAAATGACCATATCTTCCCTTCTAAAAGGTTAAATTAATAATCTTTATTCTCAAAGTAATGATAAACCTGTGAGTTGGATGTAGAAAAGTCAGAATCAATATAGATGTTTTTTATTTTAAAGAAAATTCAGATTTTACATAGTAAAAAACTGTAAATTATAGTGTCCGTCCAAATATTATTTTTTACTTATAGTGAAAACTACCCTTGGATGATGGGTTAGTAGACTAAAAGCTTTAGGAATCCAAAGTACAACATATAATAAGTACCCTGTATCAAGATTGATGCAAAACAAGTGAAATTTGACCTTTTTAGAGAGATTTAGCCAAAAACCCCCACTTCTGGGGTCATTTGGGTGGATTTGACCTATCTCTGGCCCCCCTTGGTCGATTTTGATGAATGAAATCTCTTTATAACCGCTAGAGCCAATGGAATCGAGGGAAAGTTATATACACACCAAAACGTTAACAAATAAGGAGTGAGAGTGACGCGTTACCAAAACCGGAAGCTGCATACACTCTGGTGGCTACCATTAGCAGCTAACTTTTCCGCTCCGATTATTACATAAAAAATGGAATTATGGATTATAAATAATTTTTTAAAAGGTACAGGTACATTATCAACCTATGGATCAACAGTTGTAGATATTTGTTTTTCGTTTTAATGCCATTGAACACGTCTTTTGACCTAATTGACAGCTACGGTGAGATGATCTGCCGTAAAAGCTCCGTAAAGGTACGTGTTGTGATGTCTGTGTTTGCTTCCCCTGTCGCAAGTTCGGATCGCTCAGTGATGATACTATACCTAAATAATCAGTGGAGTCTCAGCTTTAATAGGCTATATTGTATGTGCAGCTACGATAAGTAATAAGGGTATCTTTATCTTGAATTTTGTGCTGCAGTGCGTTAGAATTTTTTCGCTCAGGGGTCATTTAGACCCTTCTTATGAGACTTGTGTTTTGTTTTGGTAAAAATGGTTCATATCTTCAGTTAGCTGAGATTCTTCCCGTTAATCTGGTGCTACACATTAATAGTTTCATAAATGTTAAGAAGCCCTGAGACATTATCTCGAAAACAAAAAGGTGGGAGGGGTCCAATGGGGGGACCGCCGTGCTTAAGAGGTTAAGAGAAGAGAAAAAAGGAAAGAAAATTGTTATAATGGGTGATGTAACATTAATGACAGACATAATATGAGGTCCTTGGCACTCAGACTCTAGAGGGGTCATTTTGTGATCATGGGGCATCACCCTTACAGCATCAGGACAATATCATATGGAGTCAGACACTGGAAGTGTGCTGGAGGCGTTGACTGGGACTGATGGAAGGATGAGGCTGATGAGACTGAAGAATCTGCGAGGAATTAACTAGCGGCTGAGAAATAATCATATATTAAAAGACAGCAGCATCATAAGAGGCCAACAAGAGTGACAGAGTGTGTCAGTGTGCTGAAGGATAGACCAGCTATCCAGGCCAGACTCTAAAGACTTTCCAAGGTGTAAAAATGCTGCTGCTGGAGTACTGACTGGAAGTAGTGCTGATATCATGTCTACCACATCCTCTTAAAATACTCTGTCCAACAATATCAGTCTCAGGAAGAAATGTTTTTTAATGCTTATTAAAAGAAAAACATGCATTCTTAAAAAAAAATGAAGAGCAGCTGATTTGAAAAAACAAACGCGAGAGACGGCGGAGTTGACCGCAGTGCAGAAACGCTGTAGTTTAAATCTCCTTACAATGTTGTCCATTTTATACATAGGCTTATTATATTTACAGCCCTTAATAACATTAGTTTTCTGGGCTCAAAATGTGTCTTGGCTTTTTTCGTTTTGATCGCTAAATTCACCTTGTTTATAATATTGTCACCGTTCCAAGCAAACAAGTTCTTTTGTTTTGAAATCACTTCCGTGAGTTTCGCCCCGCCCCTCGCTCCAAGGACCATTAGACCATCTAGTTAAGGTAAAAAGCAAAAAGGCCTCTCAGACGCTCTTCCGCTTACTTGTGTAATAAAGAAAAACAAATGGACGGTAGATACCAGTAGCGTGGCGTGGGGAAAAATTTAGGGGAAGCCCATTTTTTTGCCAGATGAGTGATTACAGCGCCCGGTATCATTTTACACACATTTGTATCACACAGATGCAGGACTTGCACACGCCTGTTATCTAACCGCACGCACTCTCCAGCCGAAACTCTCGTTTTATTAATTTAAGCATTTTCTTATTAATTTATGCAGACACACCCCCCCCCAAATGCAATACCAGCCGCTCAATGCGCAGTGCAGATTCGGTAATGAATAAAAAAGAAGCATTCATTCACAAAGTAAATCAGGAGACCTTTAACGTTTTATGTACACATCAAAGTATCAGTAGGCGTGTAAGAAACACATGAATTCAAAAACAATTATGTACAGAAACATTTGCATGCGATAGTCCACCTTCTCTTCCCTTCCCTTTCTAACACACGGCAAGTGCAGCAACAGTCCTCGTCTCTGTAATTAGCTCAGTCCGTAGTCCAAAAGTAACTAAAAAATATAAACAATCTCATCTATTCAGGTGAAATCGCCAGCCGCCTCTGAAGGGAAGCCAGAGCCAGCTGGCTTCCCTTGGCATGCCCTGACCAATCACAGGTTGGCAGGGGCATCACGTGGGCCTCATCTGATTGGTCAATCCCTCAATTTTTTTCACCAAGGGAAGCCCGATCCGACTGGCCTCCTCTCGCAACAGTGAATGCAATCTACTGTTTCACCATAACATCTAGAGGGGCGCTGTTTGTTTCACTCTTTGTAAAATACTCAATGAGAGTGGGGGAAAGACGGGCCGGCAGCAACACACAGCAAAGGAGAATTATCGAAACAAAACAAAGTGTTTTTATTTATTTATTTAAATTATAACTACAATCCGAAAAAACAGGGGAAGCCTGGCTTCCCTTGGCCTCCGGGAGAAAACGCCACTGGTAGATACACGGATTTACCACAAGGAAAAATAACATTACCAGTGTACTACAAAGGCAATGATATTTCTTTAAAACTGGTCGCTCACGCACTTTTGCTTGCTGTCCGCTGAGGTAGAAATCTGAGTTAAGCTGGTATGAAGTAAGGGGAATAGTTATGTTTATGTGTCTGTCAAAGGGGGTTACCTTGTAGACTGGTTGGACACTTAACCAAAATGTGTATTTGACATACAGAAAACAGCTTCAACACATTTAGACAAATAGACACATTCAATACATGTTTATTAATTAGTTACAAATGTAAAAACTAAGATATGCTTGTTATTTTTGTATGAAACGTTTGAAACTGTTTGTTTTTCTGAAAACCTAGTGGTAAAAGTGTTTCAAATTTGACACATTTAAAGGGTATAATAACCTTAAGCTTTACCAGTCTACACTTTTACAGTCATTCAATTTCATGACATTGATTACGACTACTGCTGCTACAAGGATTCGTACTAACTTGAAAACATGAAACAATGAGTCTCAGTGTTTAAATATCCTCAGCTTTCCCTCTTATCAGCACGCGCGCTATTTGACCCCACCCTCTCATGCAGCAACGAGCGCGTGCGGTGGATTGAAAGAGCTCGTCTATCAACATCTGCAGCACGAGACCCCACGGAGGCTTTCCATTTTTATTCCACAGGTCTGTGCTCCAGTCGATACATTGTCGCTTTTACGTGAAGATAACATGTTAGCATCCTACAAAAACATGAGCTGGCTGAGAGTAGGGGGGGAATGAAGGTGTGCTTTTTCGCGAACTATATGAGGAAATTGACTGGTCTGCTCACCTGTGTGGGATAATATTTTACACACGGAGAGATCTACCCTTGAAAGCTGAAAGTACTGAAATGGATGTACGCACAGGAAAACAGGAGGCGATGGATGCTGCTGCCTTCACCGCTGAGAATGAAGCTGAGAGCAAGCAGGTGCAGGAGGAAAAGTCCGCTGCATCCGGGCAGAATTACCTGGACTCATGCCCCGTTTGCACTTTAAACTTTCACAGCCGAGAGCCCAAACTTCTTCCGTGTCTGCACTCTTTTTGTAAGAAATGTCTCCCTTCGCCCTCGAGGAATTTGGCCATGGCAGAGACGCCAAACTCCCAGGTGGACAGCGCGACCAAACCACGTTAGTCACTGTTTACAAACAATCACCCATTGATCCATAAAATAGTCCTAATCTTTACTGCATGCAAGGAACAATAGAATCACTGTAGATATATAAAGACTAGTGTGTTTAAGTGCGTACATTTAACACACATGGTATGCCTTCGACTTCATATCAGGTGGCATCTCTCATGTTTTCATTAAAGCACATTTCCAATTTGAGTGATTCTGTTTGCTTCCAGTGAATGTGATCCGCTGTCCGGTGTGCAGACAGGAGTGTATGGAGGTAGATGTGATGGACAACGTGTTTGTGAGGGACTCAGTTGAGACTCCCAGCAGCACAGTGGAGAGGACAGTCCAGGTTAGTGATAACATGCATTACCATATGGGGGCAGCCTTGTCACTAGTTTGTAGGGTCATGGATATATTATTATTTAATTATAAGCAAGGTTGTATGCCCTGGGCGTTTGAACAGATTACATTGGGTTACTTAACAGGAGTAATAAGGTACTTTGATTTGTCTTTTGTCCACTTTGACATGGATTTTAATGATAATATTATAATTGAACTTGCTTGACGAAACAAGACCCAGTATGATACCTGACCACCTGTAATCTATCAGCCTCTGATGTTTACCTCCTCTTCCTGTAGCTCTGTATGACATGTGATGACAACACTGAAGCGGCTGGGTTTTGTGCGGACTGCGTTGAATACCTCTGTGCCACCTGTGTGGAGGCCCACCAAAGGGTCAAATTCACCAAAGACCACACCATCAGACAGAAGGCAGAAGTATCGCCAGGTACTTTTTCCAGGCTCCTCCCCTCGATGTTATCTTCTACACTTGCAGTGTTTACTGTATATAAAATAAGATAAGATGGACCTTTATTAATCCCTGTGGGGAAATTCACTAGTTCAAAAAGCAACAGGGTAAGAATGAAAAACAGGACAGCACAGATTCACACAGATTCGAGATTAATACAATTAAAGATTAAATAAAAGATACAAATACAATTATATACAGTTAAAGGTGGGGTAGGTAATTTTGGAGAAACCATGCAGCTCGAGTGCGCTAGAATTTGAAAATACACAACCGGAAAAAATCTGCCACTTCCTTACAGAGCCCCTCCTCCAACACACACGAACGCGCACATGACCAATGAGGGCACGAGATAAGTTTGTGCACAGATGGAAGGCTGACAGGCAGGTAGGCCATCCAGTTATTTTAGCCGGGCCGGCTAAAATGATTGGTCGTGCTTTTTACAGTATTACAGCTTCCACAGATGACATTTTTTTATGGATTTTTTGTCAAAGCACTTAAGATATTCATTGCTATCGGGATGTTAAGAGCATTCCATGGAATATAACAACAAGTGTATCTCGAGCCGGTTTCTCAAACTTACCTACCCCACCTTTAAGTAACTTTAAAATAAGAAATGAAAAAGTAAATAATCTTGTGCTTTAATATTGTAACATATTTTTGGGGTAAAATGCTTCTAAATTGAACCTAATGTCTTCCTGGACAGTCCATTTACATGACGCATATAGTATGTCATAACGTTAAATACCCTCTGGAGTTTGGCACGCAGTTTAAAAACAATACTTTACATTCTTACACCGACCATTACTTATCTTTAAATACACTTTAAGCCTATTAGGCAATGATGGTAAAACTCAAACATTGCTCGTTTTTTTAATGGCCTGAAAGATAGATGACATTTTCTTTTACCCAGTTAAGAAAGTAATTAGAGCTAATTAAACACATTCCCACTCAATGAAATAATGGAACACATTGCTCAATAACCCCAAATCTTATTATTAAGGGCCAGAAATGACTTGTATAGTTCCCAGAATGAAATGAAATGATCTCTGCCCTCCTATTGTTTCCCAGAAGTCCATGGGGTGTCGACTCAGAGGCCGGTGTTCTGTGAGATCCACAAGCAGGAGCCGCTGAAGCTCTTCTGTGAGACCTGCGACCTGCTGACCTGTCGTGACTGCCAGCTGGTCAAGCACAAGGACCACAAGTATAGTCACTATTTACAATATAACACAATATATATTATATTTGGTTCTTACATTTCAGTTTTTTACATTACAACCATATTTAATAAACCACTATCACTTATCCACTCTAAAAGACTGTCAGTGTGTTAGTTACTATCACTCATTAAGAACGATTACTATTTATATTATTGAATCCACTGACTTAATGTTTGTTTTTTGGAGTAGTTACCAGTTCCTTGAAGATGCTTATAAAAACCATAAACAGCACATGGAGAGCATGACCCATCGGCTGCAGGAGAAACAGAAAATGATTGAAGAGGTATCCAACTCCATAAACAATGGGTATGTATTTCCCCACACCACAAGATATGTCAAGTGTGCAAAATCTATACAAAGAGGAACGCACTTATAGTTTATAGAACTGCTGTTGCAACTTCCACATGATCTCATTACCACAAATAACTGTAATCATGCATACCTCCAGTAATAATGAGATTTCACCAAATACGTGCCGTTTCATTTATCAAATTGTAATACTTTTGTATGCTTTTCAGACTCCGACAGGTTCATCAGAACCGTACGACTGTTCATAATGAAATAGAGAAATCTATCTGCAGTTTGATTCTTGAGATAAACAAGAAGGGCAAGATGCTAGTTAATCAACTTGAGGTGAGACAGAAGCTTTTGAATAAAAAAACATTGTTATTTCTATGTTGCATGCTGAAGATTGCTGTGTTTTTTCTAAAGGAACATTAATTGCTTGCAAACTCAGTTACCTGTCTCCCCCCCAAGGCCATGAGCTCATACCCTCAAGCTGTTTAAACACTGCAGAGGTTAACTTATTCATGTTTTCCAGGCTGTAACAAAGGATCATGAGAGTGTCCTAGGAAAACAACAGGAGGACATCGGCTATCTTTCCAGACACCTGGATCATGTCATCAACTTCACCAAATGGGCCACAGCCAGGAATGGGGGCACAGCCCTGTTGTACTGTAAACGTTTGGTAAGGTTTATCTGATCATTTATATCTCACCGCAGTTTCCCAGCATGAAATTCAGCTCAGCTCTGAAAGCCGGTTAGGAGAGTGGTCTCTCTGTGAGGTGATGAAGTGGGAACATATGCCTGTTGTAACGCACAAGAGCCTTCCTCTGAAAATTATTAATAACTTCCCTTCTGTTGCAGATTCTGTTTCAGATTGGAAACCTCCTGCGGGCAAAATGTAGTACCTCGTTTATACCACAGAGCACTGTGCGCTTCCAGAGCCGATCCTCTTATTGGGCCTTGAATGTAGATCTGGGTAAGACGTACACAAACATCTGTCTAAATTAAGATAATCTAGAGCCCTGAAAAAGGGTTTTGTTTAGTCTGGACTCTGTTTTTATTTGGCCTTTTTATGAATGAGTATTTTTTTCTAAACCCTACTTAATATGACTGACAAGTACTAGTGGCTCATTTTAAGACTGGTCAACTGCCACAAAATCTAGTTTTACAAGATAAAGGCCATGCTGATCAGTTCCACAAAATGAGTTATTAAACAGGCATGACCATGCTTATATGGCAAACATAGCAGAAACAGCATGATGCTCGTGCTAGTTCAATCAGGTCTATGCCCTTTGCTATGATAATCTGATACTTAAAGGTGGGGTAGGTCATTCACTTCAGAAACACTTTTCCATGGAATGCTCTTAACATCCCGATAGCAATGAATCAGCGTTTCCGCCAGGGGGCGTCTTGCCGTCATTTGATGCCCTTATTCAGCTCGGGACGCCCTGAACTCGAGCCGAGGGCGTCCAAAAATATTAATAATTCGAGAGAAGATCGAGAGTTTTTATCGCTCGAAATAACGAAAAGGAAAAAGGACAAGGACATCCCGCTGTTGGAGGGGCAAAGATGACGCGATGAGCGGTGCTAGTGGAGCACGCGCGTAAGCTGCGAGCACCAGAGCCTCGCAGCGGCGAAACTGAGGCTCCGTGGTAAACTGTGGTAACATGAAGAGCCGTTTGGGAGCCGAAACAGCCGGCGCTTTAAGAGAGCCGAGCCAAATGATCCAGCCATGGCGCTGTAAAAAGCACGACCAATCATCTGAGCCGGCCCGGCTAAAATAACTGGATGGCCTACCTGCCTGTCAGCCTTCCATCTGTGCACAAACTTATCTTGTGCCCTCATTGGTCATGTGCGCGTTCGTGTGTGTTGGAGGAGGGGCTCTGTAAGGAAGTCTGAAGGAAGGGGCAGATTTCTTCCGGTTATGTACTTTCAAATTCTAGCGCAGTCAAGCTGGTTTCTCCATTCTTACCTACCCTACTTTTAAGAGTCTCTATTTTTTACTTTAAAAACTCAATGATTAAATAATTATACTCTCTGGATAGTTACACTGATTTTCAAAAGAATCCCATTGGAATCTTGTTTCAATACCATGTTTGGGGCTTTTCATATCTGCATGCAAGTGACATAACTTACCCTTGATATGTTGGTTCCCCCTTGCCTTATGGATGAAGGGTCGATGTGCCTAAAGGGCCCAAATGCTGTTCAGCTGCAGCAGTTTCAACTCTAGCCTGACAATTGTAACAAAATATTGCTATATTATAAAAGTCAGCCAAAAGAAAATCCACATGAAAAGTTTTGACTCTTTTGTTTAAGTCAAAACAGAATTTGGTTTCCATAAGTAGGAATCACAATATGCTCTTTGTCAAACATCTTCATCGTGAGGATTTTCTTTTGTTTGTTTAAATATTGTAAATTAACTATCTTTGGGATTTGGATTGTCAAAACAAGCCATTTGAAGACATTTTTCAATATGTTGTAATGACACTTTATCCAAAACATTTTCAACGGATTAAAAGTATAATCAATAACTTATGTGAGAAAAGTGTCATTACAGCATGACATGTTTTCCCTCTTATAAGCCCCCACAGTTTCACAAACCATCTACCCAAACTTTCTCTTTCCCACATTCCTCTGCAGAAGTTTTGTCTGTATTATGTAATGTGTATCCCTGCTTGTTATGCTCATCCTGTCTTGGTGTGTATGTTCCCTCAGGCTCTTTACTGGTGGAGAGTGCACCAGGCCACCAGCTGGGCGGTTTTCAGGGTATCCCTCATCAGCTCCCCCACCCTGCGCCGGGCCCCTCAGGCTCACCCCACAGCTACGCCCTGGGAGCACCCCATACTACTCTGGCTCAGCTCCAAATGCAGGTGGAGAAGCTAAACCCGCAGGCCAACTGGCAGCCCCAACCACCTCCTCCACCCTGGACGTGGTACCAGAGTGTCCGACTTCCGCGAACCATCCCTGGGCCCCTGCAAGGAGGCCCCGCCCCCTCCCACACTATGATGCCCCAACCAGGCCGCAGGTTCATGGTGCCCCCTCCCAACCACATCAGCCCAACTAGCAGCTTTGAAAGCCCTGGGTTTACCCCCCAGGTTAGTGTGTGTGTGTGTGTGTGTGTGTGTGTGTGTGTGTGTGTGTGTGTGTGTGTGTGTGTGTGTGTGTGTGTGTGTGTGTGTGTGTGTGTGTGTGTGTGTGTGTGTGTGTGTGTGTGTGTGTGTGTGTGTGTGTGTGTGTGTGTGTGTGTGTGTGTGTGTGTGTGTGTGTGTGTGTGTGTGTGTGTGTGTCTATTTGACAGACAAGTCCTCTTAACAAGCACCGACATTGGATGGTTCTGTCCTAAATAGAGCTGACAGCCTTCCCATCTATGGCAATTTATGTCTCTCCTTGTCAAGATGGATTTTAGTCTTTGATAAATGGATGGATTTGAGTGTAAAAGGAGCTTATGACTCAAAATTATAAATTCAAACCGTTAAATCTGCAGTGCAACAGCAGCCAACATGTGACAGAGAGTGGACCCAAGACAGAAACGCTTGATAGTATCTCGTCATCCAAGTTGTTTAGTCTACTCCACAGGGTGTTTTGGTTCCAGTTCTCAAGTGTAGGCTCATTCACAGGACGATACTGCTGTGTGAAGTGCACACATACGTTGTGTCACACTGATGTGAACAAGATGTTATAGCTGCATGATGAACTCTTCTACATTCTCTGTAGTAAACAAACATACCAGGGTTTTGCTAGTTTCACTTCAAATCACATATCATTAATGATACAGTACTCATGATAATTGTGTTTCTGGAAGCAGACTGTAGTTGTTTTTTAGATTGTTTTCTGGGTTTGCTAATTTGTTTCTCTTAACTATTGTGCAAACAACTTAAAGAGAGATTTAGGATACTTTAAAGTCAGTTACTTTAAAGTGGACCTATCATGCTATATTTAAATGATATATTGTAGGGCCATACCTATATAAGGTATATTTATACGTTTCTGTTTTCAAAATACCAAACAGATCATGCATTTTAGCCATGCCTCATTTCGCTCTATGTGCTGTTTGCTGTCTACGGGTCTGATTCTGCTGACCACGCCCCCCTGCAGGAGAGAGGAGCCGTGCTCTGATCAGCTGCTGGGCTGTCAGAAGAGGGGGAGAAAAAGAGATCTCCGTCCTCCGTGTTTTATTATATAGAGTCGTTATTCATTTGTTTTAAAGCTCAATAAATAACAAAGAAGACCTTTGACCAGCACTTTTCTAATTTTGTCCGGAAGATTTAAACTTTAACGGACATCTTGACCGGCGAAACAAACTGAAACTGAAACTCTGCCGCACGGTCCCCTCGTTCCTTGGAAGAGGCGGAGAGGTGGGTGTTTGTCATCTGCTGGTGGACTAACCGGAGAGAATTACAGTGCTTGCCTCGACGGGGAGGGATTGCATTGCAGCGGGAGCAAACGCTTGCCTCGGGGAGGGAGAAAAAAAGCCACAGCGGAGAATAAACAGAAGGGTAACCATGGTAACTATGGGCGGGAAGTCTTCGCTGCTTTTGCGGCAGACTACAGCGCCACTTACAGGCCTGGCATATGTACTACAGCGTCTCCAGCGCTTTCGAACGGCAATGGCCGTGGCTGTCTCCTCCTGATTGGTTGAGTTGGCCCAATAGCCGTAGCGCCACCGTCCTGACGTCAGGACAGTGTTCAAATCTGGATCAGTTTTTATCAGATCCGTTGCAGCCCCTTTTTTTAGAGATTTGGGTATGGAGGAAAATAGAGAGGGTTGTGTTTTCTGACACTTGGTGAGTTCCCTGGAATAAAAGACGTACAAAAGTGCATTTTGCATGATAGGTCCCCTTTAAGTAAACAGGAAGTCTGCTTTTTTGTATAGTACTACATTTCACAACCAGAAGGTGAGTCATAAGATATAGATTTATCAGATTTGTATCGAAATGTTGGATAACAAAAACTGTTCTGACTTTGGCATTTTTGATTATTGTGTACCAAATAGTAAACACATAGGTTTTCCGGGCCTTTAAATTAAGTATATTTAATTTAAAGTGATGTGTTATTTGAGTGTAGTGTCATGTGTTAAAATCAGTCGGTACACCCCTTTTAGGTGTATCCCAACTAAACTGCATTAGACACAGTAAATAAAAAATATTTTATATAAATGCTAAATGTTTTTATACATTTTGAGAAAGATTAGCTGAACCGGCTATTAAATAAACTAACAAAATAAGTATAATCAGCCTCAAACTTCTTAGTGGTTGGTTTATTCTTTAATCTTCTCTGTTCTGGCGGTTGCCGGGGGCGTCAACCCACGCAGCAGCAACAGGGTATTGAAAGAGCACTGTTTCCTCTCCAGATCCATCATCACATGCTTACAGCCGCTGACAGGAATGCTGGATAAAAATGATTGCAGCAAGTCAATCCATCTTTCTGTTTCTCTGTCTCATAGCCTCTGAGGGGGATGGGAAGCAGCTACCAACCCAAACCCATGGAAGTCTTCTCCTCTCCACCTCTCTACACCCATATTACACCACTGCCCATCAATAGTGGCGTCAGCTCGCCTCAATCAGATCAGACGGCAAGTGAATTTATATATCCATTAACTATATTGATATATATTATGCTTACAGTGTAGTAAATGACATGCAATGCTGTGTTTAGATTGAGCCTACATATCTGAATAGGAGGAATGATTCAGGCGGTCCGATGTACATGCTGAAACCAAACTATCCCCAGGGCTTGCCTCCATGTTTTCAACACATAAATGGTATGTGTGTGCCATCTGTCATGTTTACATTTTCAGACTGTATGTATTGCTGTGTTCTTTATAAATCAAAACAGATTTGTATATTTCTCTCAAGTGCAAGGACAGCAGAATTCACCAGGGTACGCTGCTGTTTCCCAGGAGGAGAAACCAGGGTAAGGACACATCTGCTCACACACAGAAGCACAGATTCTAACAATCTAAAACAGTGCTGCTTTGATATGACCCCAGTCCCTTTGTGCTGTTGGTCTCTCCAGTGAGTTTTGATTTGACTTTGATTGGTTCATTATTTTCTCAATTTCTCCCAAGCATTGTTACCTGGAAACCTCCAGAAACACAGCAGGCCAGTGGAGCAGTAGGCTCAGCTGTCAAGAAGAGAAGAAGGTTATCACCAGGGCCCATCATAGTCATCAAAGATGAGCCAGATGATGACAGTGGCCACGTAAGCAGACAATAGATTATTATTACAATCTATTGATTATCAATTTGCCATAGATGAGAATTTTGGTTTAATCTTTAGCCTGTTACTGCAGCAAGAATGTATTTTGGACTTACAGTGTATGATTTAAAGGAAAACTGTTTACTATAATTTGGCCATCTCCGATAACTGCAAATGCTATTGGTTGCCATAACAATATACTTACCAGAGTTATTGATCTGAAAATGCAGAGATTATCTGTCAGACAAAGCAAGAAACACAAGTGGTTAGACAATTTGTTACCAAGCCAACAGCTTTGCAAGATTTTCTAAGCCTTTTTATCTGGAAGTAGAACCCAAAGCAATGGCAACTTCAACGTGAGTTAGAATACATTATCGGAAATATAAAACGGTCTGCGGCCTTACTATAGACCAAGGTTAAGTATCTTTTTCTCTGTTTGTGGATTTCAGCTCCAAACCCATCAAAGAGCCAGCCTTCCTGACAGCACAGGTGACCAACCCCCAATCAGTGCTCCTCTTCAAAGCACAGGTGACACACCCCATAGTCCTTCCCAGCCTCCAAGCAGCCCGCGGGACCAGAGTAAGACTAATGCTCAAAATCACAGCCGTACCCTGGGAGGAGAACAGCAGGTAGACCAAGCCCCACTGGAGGACTCTAAAGAGGTCCTGTGTGCTGCGTGTGGGACAGGCGGAGAGCTGCTGAGCTGTGATCAGTGTCCCAGGAGGTTTCACCTTTCCTGCCATGTTCCAACTCTCCTCAAATCTCCCAGGCAAGCTCTGACAGCGGATATTAATGTATTCATGGTCTCAGACGAAAACCCCTTCTTTTGATTTCGGTGGTTTATACAAATAAGAACGCTTTAGCTTTAAGAAAGAGGCTGTTTTCGGTGTGAGGTTATCATCTGAGAGCAGCATTATGCACTTGGTGTAGTATGTTCCCTTTCTGGCTTGTTGTGTTGAGTCTCTGGACTGTCTGTTTTCAGTGGGAAATGGTTTTGCTCATTCTGCCGTGATCTGTTAGTGCCAGAGATGGATTATGACTGCGAACCTGAAGCCAAAACAGTGAAGAAGGAGCCAGATTCTGAAGGAGGATTTCACCCTGTGGACAAACGAGTCAGTGCTCAATTTCTTTTTCTTTTGGAAACTTTTCACCTCACCATTCTTCTATTTATTTGGAAGTTTGTAGTTTCATCCTTAGTCATATTTTACCAAAACATTGCTAAATGTTCAAATTCTGTCTATCCCCACCTTACGATGTGCATTCAGGATAGCTGCATCGTTACAGCGCCCCCCTCCTGTTCCTTCATTGGACAGAATCACTCAGAATCCTAGCTCACTCATTTGCTAGCCTAACAAACTCACATCTTCCTTGTTTATTGGTGTACATTTGAACACCGGGCACATTATTGTACAATTATCCCAAACAGGAGTAGGTGCTTGTTACATAAAGTACTGTAAATGGACAGTAGCATACTGTATGGATGAAGAAAGTGGCTTGAGTTTCGAGCTAGCATGCTCCATTAGGTACAAAACTATAAACCAACTTTCAAGTTTTAAGGTTATGAGAGAGTGAAACTGTTACGGGTGGAGTAGCACAGTTTGCCCAGCAACCATATTAGTTTTACTGTTGACCAGCTGTTTTATGTAGTCCAAGAACATTATTAATTGATAGTAGTATTGTAACAAATCTCAATTACATTTGTGCAATTCTGTTTAAAATGGAGGGTCTTAAAATAGTTTGAGGCATATAAAAAAACAATATGTTGCCGGATGGAGTGTGTTTTAGTGGATGTGTTTTTTTTTTGTATTAGAACAGCTGTTGGTGTTAGACTTAAAGTAGATCAGCATCAGATACGTTCTGAGAAGCAATCCTGGTCACGTTAAACGTATTCAGATGCAATATACTATATAGATCGGTGAATTGTATATTCTTTATCAGTTGTACATTAAGTCAATTGTCTTTTTTCCACCACTGCAGAAGTGTGAGAGGCTGTTGCTGCACTTGTTTTGCAGCAAGCTGAGTTCAGACCTTCAAGGCCCTGTATCCCCCCCGGTGAGTCTGGAAGCTTTGCTGACTACGGGCAAAAAGTTCACAGGATTAATGTCACACAGAGTTACTGTGACTGTAATTCTAATGAGGTGTAAAATGCAGTATTTATGAGTAAATACAGAGATGTTATGCAACTTTTAATCAGTTTTATAAATATACAGGAATTTGTCCTGCTGACACAGAGTTTGTAGTAATTGTTATTCTTAAATTCAGTGCACCTTTTTGGCTTGAACTACCTCGATCTGCACGACACAATGTGTTAAAAATCCCTTACCTATTGTGCACAATCAAGGCATGTAATAGTTTATACTGTATATATGAGATATTACTCATGTTTTTACATCTTCCCATGAAGTTTTATTGTTTTATTATCTCTCCCTTTCTAAATACTGTAGGTATGTGCTAATAACAGGGAGACTATAAAGGGACCGATTAATCTTTCCGCTCTGAGAAGACGACTGGAAGCAAAGCAGAGTCTGTGCTACAAAAGCCCTGCAGAGTTTGTGTCGGACATCAAGCTTGTCCTCAATCAGGTACCGTGGAAATAGTTGTCAAAAATATATTTGTAGTTCCCCTCACCTGCTAATATACTTCTACTTGCATGGCAGGTGGACGCAGAGGGCAGGGAGCTGGGCGGAAAGCTTAAAGAGCAGTTTGAGGAATACCTGAAGAGCATCTTCCCTGACCAGACCTTTCCAGAAATCAAACAGGAGATGATGCCTTCTGCTCCTCCTGACTCTCTTTTCTCATCTTTTGACCACAAATCCCAGCATGCAAAGCGCTTGCGCACATGTCCAGACTCCCAGGATGCACCGATCTGTCCCAGTGGAGAGGGGGGAGAAGTATGAGAGAAAGACATATTTTGAAACGTTCGAAAACACTGCCAGCACCAGCTAATATTTGGTGTGTTCAACTTTATACTTGAACTTGATACACAATCATCTTCAGGCCACAACACCTTTGTCCTTCCTTTTCTTTTTCCTTACATTTTTCTGGAACAAGCTACATGGCAAATGTTGCATTCACACTGAATTCAAAGACATGGCTGCTATATATTACTACAGGCATCAATAATAAGATTTATGCAAAATGTACATACATGCAGAACATTTGGGTGTTTACAGGGTAAAGCGGAACTGGCTATTAAGGTAAGCAGTCTTGTTTTGGTTAAGTTATGCATTCATTAGCTCTGAGCTTGCACACTGTGGTCAGGTCTCGAGTGTTTTTCCTCTCCAGCTCTCCATGTGTAAATATAGCAGTGTTCAGCGGAAGGATGATAACCATGCAGCTTTGATGTTTTTTCATATGTGGAATAAAATGTGTTACGAGGCCAATCAAGAAAAAACAATGGAGTCAAAGCTGTTTGATAAAACCCAAAACGATTTACATTGTCAAATTGTTACACAATATTTCTGCTTTGTCTAAATAGATGTTATTTTCTCTTCTATTTATGTTTATTTTAAATAAGGGTTATGGCAAATCATTTTAATTCAGTAACATTTCTTTCCACACCACAGGATTAAGTAACAAACCTACTTTCATGCAACTAATCTTGCAGGTGTTTACAGGGTAAAATAAAAACATGTTAGCCTACGTCTGACTATGATTAAGGGTAACCAAAAATGTACCACATAAACCTCCTTGGCTCTATATACATGCATGTTAATGAGGTCTATTAATGTCCTACTTTAAAACCAGACATGTATCATTCCCCTTAATCCAACACACTTTAAAGTTAAGCAATGCCACTTCCTCCTTAACAAGTTCCTACAGTTGTGTTGACTAACAGCACCCGGTCCTTTGGGCCCCACAGGGCCGGCCCCTGGCTGCCTCGCTGTGTTAGTGGCCCTCGGCTGATTGACACAGACGTGGCAGGACAAGCTTTGATGAGCTTCAAAGGAACTGTACTGCACCCCCCACAACAAGATTAACACTGTTTGAATGCCATTCCAATTTCCTCCACCTATGAGCTAAGAGGTCATCTCACGCTGCTGTTTTTCGTTAAAACCCAAATGTAGATTTGACCTGGAGTGATGGTAGTTTCTGGAAGTTGCCCTCAGTTATTCACAGTGATTTACTGTATCCAGCCATGCAGGTTTCCAGCTCAACGCTGTTATGGGTCTTATTTAGGGCTTTCTGCATTCATTACATGACCTCTCACGGTCTATTATCTATCACCTGCATACACTCAGGCTAAGATAAGATTAAGGACAGCAGTAAAGGAGTGCCTTGTGATGTAGTAACTGTTACATCATAGAGAAGAGGAAGGGGGGGTGCCACATCCGTTACCGATAAATGTCCAGAGGAGTGGTATCTGTGCTGCTATAGCAAACGTCTACCTTTTAACATAGGGCACAGTTCTAGGACCATGCAAGTGTTTGTGCATGTTTTACTTACAATACTTGACATGACTTTCTCCGGTTTGATTTGTGAACAGTGTTTTCCTACACATCCAAACACTGGTTTTATATCGCCTTGCTAAGTGTTTAACATGAACATGCAACAAACTGCTACTCCAATCCATGAAACACCATGTCTGCTGTTGTTTTTCAGGAGTAAATCACTGTACTGTGGCATTATAAGTGTGGATAGATATAAAAACTATGGTATTTACTTTACAATGTAAGTGTAAAGTAAAAGACAGACATGTTGCTCAATGTGATGGATTACTCCCTCAAGTTCTGGGCAAGCTCACTTCCACCCAACAGTGGGATTTATTTCAAGTGGATTTCATTGGGAACAAATAATCCTGGATATCAATAATTACAAAGACAGCGATATCTTCCAAATAAGAAAGACAAATAACATGATATTTAAACTGAAATCATTCAGATTAGAGTTAATGTAGAATGTTTTGAGCACAGAGATTGAGACTCAGTTTACTTTGACACAGTGCAGTTACCCTTTTATAACTGCCATATACTTGTGGTCTTTCCTGTATGCCTGGTATCAAGTCTTGGGTGATGTTTCTAGACTGGCTAGACTGGTGGTGGAGACATGTGGCTCTGATTAGAAGATCATTTAACCTCTCGCTGTCACCATGCCCAGAATCAGTAGACTGATTGAATTTGCAGAGGGCTTTAGTTGGTACAAAATGTTTATAATGCAGTCTAGCAATTATTTCTCCGCTCCTTGCCAAATCCTGTAGACTTGTGTGTGTTAGTGTGCAGGCAAGTGTGGCTTCCTTTCACAGTTCATGATCACATTGGCTGACTGTTTGCCCACATTATGTGGAACTGATACAAAAGCTTTAATTCATTAACTTTAAGGAAAATGCCTCATTTTGTTTGGTATGGCTGTGAACTTCGGTGAAGAGAAAATAGGATCAGCTTGGACGAGAGACCTTTAATACCTCTGTGCAGAACGCAGATACATCATCAATAAGTATTTAAATATAATGGAGTATGAAACAGCACAAAGCCAGTTTGATTTATCATCCTCTTTAAGGTGCAGTGAACTGAAAATGTAGAAGTGAATAAATAGATATGTGCAGACAGAGGCAGTGACAATCTATTATTTCTTTATTCCCCCTATTTCCTCTTACTAAGATATCCAAAAAGGTTTCAAGGCTTGCAGTCTGGACATAGCCACAAGAGATTTTTTTAAATAACTCGAAACCGGCTCCAGATGTTGAGTAATCAGCACAATCATTAGTCACAGACAGAAAAAGTCTACTTTGCCATTGATGGGAAGACAATTTCCATGTGTGCATGCATACCTTACAGCACAGTAGCCTGAAGTCACTTGCAATTCCTCCTGAAGGCAATAAAAAATATTTCAGCCCACATCTCCCTAGGTAGTATTTCAGGTCTTCTACTTTCCAACACACATAAATGTGTCAATCATATACAACATTTTTAGAAGGATAGGCTTTTTGTGCAAACATTCCTGTCCGAATCTAGTAATAACTTACAGTATAAATGAACTTCTAAGTGTTAAAACCAATGTGTAAGTAAAATATATATTGGACAAAATATTGGTAATGTAGTTTATTGTAAATGTAAGGGAAGGAATAGGATTAGGGCCACATGAGAAGAAAAATAATTCTGGATAAAAAGAATAAGAATTCTGAGGAAGAAAAACAATCAGGTATTTTTCTGAAAATGTTCAGATTTTTTTGTTTAAAGTCAAAATTCTGATTTCTTTCTTACGGAAGAGGATTATGGCCACACAAAAAAATATTTTTTTTTCATTTACATTTTTCACATCCCCAACATATTCTTTTCACGGGGCCCTAATCCTCTTCCGTACTTTCTGACTTTAATCTCAGAAAAAAAAGCTTTGGTCAGTTCTAAAATAAATGTGTACACATGTGGCCCTAACCCTCTTCAGTAAATGAGATCACGGTTTCTCACAAGATCTCACAGAAGATTTAGAAATAGAAATAAGTCTGTCTGTGGCCCCAGCCCGCCCCTCGCGGTGTCATAATTGGACGCTCGCTCGTGCACTCACGCTGTAACTGCGACTCTCTCAGCTCCATCACATCCACTTCTGTCCTGCGGAGTCCCTCTTCCTCTTTTTGAAGGAGCGCTACTCTTTTTGCACATCCTTCACAATAACCAGCCTTTCGGACTTCTTTTTTCCCTCGAGTCAAATCTCCTTTCATTCAATGGGTCCGCGTGTCGTGCTGCTGTGCTCTCTGTTCGGAGTTCTTCTTGGCCAAGGTAAGTTATTGTATGACTCTGCTAAGACCCCTTCTAAGTGTACATAACACAAACCGTGCCAAAGAACGGTGTGAGTATCACATGCTGGTGTGGGTGGGTTTTATATTGCAAGATAAGTTTTCACATGCATTTGTGAAGGTATTTACAGTAAGATATGAAAGTGTTAATGAGGCAGTAGTGAGATCCGGGGAGGTGATGAATTTGCCACAGGACTAGTCAGGGCATGTGATGAAAGCACAGTTCACAAAGCTGGGTGCTTCAAAGTGTGGCACTTCTCCTATTGTATTAAATAGTATCCCATTATGCCATAACATAACATTTAACCACTCATACTTAGATAAGATGTTTTCTGTTTCCATTGTTTTGCATGCCAACTTAAAATCTAGGTAGTGATATTAGTAGCTATACAGTAAACCCCTTGCAGCACACTCCATTGTGTAAGGAACATTTCAGAGGCTATATTTACCTTATTACGTGAAAATATAATATAAAGTACACTGTGCCATTATCATTTGTTTTTCATTTTGTTTATAGCCTGGAATTAAAGTGATTAAAGATGACACAAGGAGTGTTAAAATGATATTTTTTAACTGAATTTATTAGTTCCCCCTGCCCTTGTTTCTGTATTTCTTCCCTGGAAGTCAAAGGCCAGGTACCTTGGTATGCTGTGATGGTGTCAGAGCGACCCAGTGCCTCTCCAGGACAGGGTGGTCTGGACACAGGAGGGTGATTTATACATATCCTAATGCTCATGGTTGCCTGGTCACACATGGGGCAACTTTCACAGTCAGCAGGGCCACTTTTCCCCAAGATGCCGTCTCAGAAGGAGGTCGTTTCACGGTCAGTTTGGAGTCAAATTCAGTCAGCTATCAGCTCGACCCAAACTCCAAAAAGTAACCGTGTGTAAGATAGACAGATACATAGATAGAGGCGAAAGTAGGTTGGAAGTTAGGTAGGTAGAAAAAATCAACTTCGTAAGTGTGTTTATATCAATAAGATTGGAAGAAAGCTCCAAAATAAAAGCCTGTAGTGCAGCCTGTAAAGGAAATGCACCCTTCTGTTTTGATGTCTGGCTAAGGCCCTCCACTCTGCCTGGGCGGAGCTCCACCAGTTGATCATTAAGCCTTGTTTACATGAGGCGTCTAGACGCAGGCAAGCCATGTGCTGCTCTGCCAAGTCAGAGTGGCCCTCACAACCAGCACTGCCATCCAAGATGGAAATCAGCCCTCTGCAGACAGACAATGCATCACAGAGACAGAGCACAGGGGCAGACTGCATCTCGGCCTCTTTTGATAAAACAGACACTTCTGGTCTTTCAATTTAGGTTTGCAAGATCAGCAGAACGTGGTTGCGTTGGAATGACTCCCTGATGCCTTGTGGTTTAGAGTTAGTTATCAGCAGAGTGCTACTGTGGCGAGGACCCTCTAGTACAGAGCAGTGTGACCAATGGAAATATATATTCTTTAACACCCTTAAACTGTATTAGGCATTAATGGCACTCAGTAAAAATCCCTATTATCTTATAACTAAATGTTTCGCTTTAGTCCTAGTGCAACATCCTGGTGTTACTCTGCAAGCAGATTGAGGTTTCTAACAGAGAGAGTGAATGTGCGATGGCCCACTTGGTAAGCTGATGTGAAAAGCTTTTAAAATGCCATCTCATTTCATCCAGCTGCTGCAAGGTTTATTGGCTACAGGAT